ACATACTGAGCTTATGGGATATAGCAGAAACAGTTTGAAAAGGGAAGTTCACGAGACAAAACACATACATCAAAAAAGACCCCAAATAAACAACTTAATGTTAACAGCTTAGAAAACTAGGAAAAGAACAAATTAAACCCAAGATGCCAAAAGGAAGGAAAAAATTAAGATCAGAACTACATGGGAGGCTGGTGCTGAGGCACAGTGGGTTAAAACCCTGGACTGAAGCGCCAGCATCCCATATGGGTGCCGGTTCAAATCCAGGCTGCTCCATTTTCCATCCAGCTCTCTGCTATGGCCTGGGAAAGCAGTGGAAGATGGCCCAACTGCTTGGGTCCCTGCACCCACATGGATGATCCATATGGAGTTCCAGGTTCCTGGCTTCAGCCTGGCCCAGACTTGGCTGTTGCAGGCATTTGAGGAGAGAATCAGTGAGTTGAAGGTTCCTCTCCCTCTCTCTCCCTTTCAACTGAATTAATTAATTAGACTTTAAAACAGATCAGGGCAAAGTAAATGAAATAGAAACTGGGAAACAGGAAACAATAGAGAACAAGAAGTAAGAGTTGACTTTGAAAAAATAAACAAATTTGGGAAATTTTAAGTAGATTAAGAAAAAAAGATCGAAAATGCAAATGAGTCAGAAATGAAGGACTGAAAGTTGGTACCACAGACGTACAGGATCCTAAGAGACTACTAGGAACAGTTGTGTGCCAGCAAATGGGATGGCCAAGAAGAAAACTACCATACATGGAAAAAGTGATGGCTCCATCTCACCGTCTCCTTGGCAGTGGGATTCCCGGCTCCTCCACATCTTTGCCAACCAATGGCTGATGGTGTGGCCATTATTTTATGTATCTGTTTTCCACCTGCATATCTTCTTTGTTGAGTTCAAACATTTTGCCCATTTTTTTCAGTTAGATTGCGTTCTTGTTACTGGGTTTGGAAAATTCTTCATGTAGTCAGAAACAGACCCAGATACATGATTGGAAATAGTCTCTGTGGCTGCTTTTTTACATGTTATAAACAGTGACTTTTGAAAAGCAGAAGTTTTTCATTTTGATGACATCCAGCATAGTAATTTGATTATTTATAATTTTATTTGTATTTAATTAAAATTATTTGTAATTTTAATTTTACTTTTGCCTGATCCAAAATCACAAATACTTCTCATGTATTTCCTTGTGGAAGTACTATGGTTTCCATCTTTCCTTTAGGTTTATAGTCTATTTTGAGTTAAGTTTTGTATATGATGTGAATTCAGGGTCAAAATTAATCTTTTGAAATGATTTATATTTGAAGGCAGAGAAAGACAAATCAAAGCACTTCCCTTTCCTGGTTTTCTCCCCTGTGCCTCCCACAATGGCCAGGACTGGGCTGGGCCAATGAGTTAGAACTCAGTCAGGTCTCCCTTGGGGGTTACAGGAGCCCAAAGCCCAGTTTGTTTGTTTGTTTGTTTCTTTCTTTTCTTTTTTCTTTTTTTTTTTTTTTTTTTTTTTTTTTTGGACAGGAAGAATGGACAGTGAGAGAGAGAGACAGAGAGAAAGGTCTTCCTTTTTTATTTTTTTAATTTTTTTTTGACAGGCAGAGTGGACAGTGAGAGAGAGAGAGAGAGAGAAAGCTCTTCCTTTGCCGTTGGTTCACCCTCCAATGGCCACCGCGACTGGCGCACTGCGGCCGGCGCACCGCGCTGATCCGATGGCAGGAGCCGGGTGCTTCTCCTGGTCTCCCATGGGGTGCAGGGCCCAGCACCTGGGCCATCCTCCACTGCACTCCCTGGCCACAGCAGAGAGCTGGCCTGGAAGAGGGGCAACCGGGACAGAATCCGGCGCCCCGACCGGGACTAGAACCCGGTGTGCCTGCGCGGCTAGGCAGAGGATTAGCCTGTTGAGCCATGGTTTCTTGAGCCATCCCTGCTGCCTCCCAGGGTCTGCATTAGCAAGAAGCTGGAGTCAGGAGCCAGAGCCAGATGTTGAACCAAGGTATTTTAGTGTGGGCATGGGCACCTTAACTGCCAGGTAAAACTCCTGTGCTAAATGCATCTTGTGTGTGCAGGTTTTTTTTTTTTTTTTTTTTTTTTTAAGACTTATTTATTGGGGCTGGCACTGTGGTGCAGCAGGTTAACGCCCTGGCCTGAAGCACCGGCATCCTATATGGGTGCTGATTCAAGACCCGGCTGCTCTGCTTCCATTCCCACTCTCTGCTATGGCCTGAGAAAGCAGTAGAAGATGGCCTAAGTCCTTGGGCCCCTCACCCGTGTGGGAGACCTGGACGAAGCTCCTGGCTCCTGGCTTTAGATCGGCACAGCTCTGGTCTTTGTGGCCAACTGGAGAGTGAACCAGCGGATGGAAGACCTTTCTCTCTCGCTCTTTCTCTCTCTCTCTCTGTCTCAATCTCTCTCTCTCTCTCTCTTTCTCTCTGCCTATCCTCTCTCTGTAACTCTTTCAAATAAAATAAAGATTTTTTTTAAAAAGATTTGTTTATTTATTTGAAAGGCAGAGAGACAAAGAGGTCTTCCATCCTCTGGTTCACTCCCCAAATGGCCACAATGGCCAGAACTGGGCCAATCTGAATCCAGGAGCCAGGAGCTTCTTCCAGGTCTCCCACGCAGGTGCAGGGGTCCAAGCAGATGGACCTTCTTCTACTGCTTTCCCAGGACATAGCAGAAAGCAGATCGGAAGTGGAGCAGGTGTGACTTAAACCCATGTTCACATGGCATGCTGGTGTCACAGACAGCTTAATCCACTGCACAACAATGCCAGCCCCTCTATTCATTTATTCTGAGGCCAATGCCACACCATCTTGATTACTGCAAACTTATAACAACCTTAGAAATCATAAAGTGTTTGTCTACACATTTTTCAGTCAATATTAAGGTTCCATCCATTTCCATATAATTTTAGAATCATCTATCAGTTCTCACACACAAGCCTGCTGTAAGTTTTCATAGGGTTTACACTTAGTGCAATTTGAGAATTGACATATTAACAATTTGAGTCTTCTCACCCCTGAACTAGGTATCTCTCTTTTACATAGGTCTCCTTAAATATCTCTCAAGGTTTTTTTTTTTTTTAATTTTGTTGTACAAGTCTTAAATTTTGGGGCTGGTGTTGTTGCTTAGTAGGTAAAAGCTGCCTCCTGCAATGTCCCATGTGAGTGCCAGGTCAAGTCCCAGCTGATCTACTTCCAATCCAGCTCCCTGCTAATGTGCCTGGGAAAGCAGTAGAGGATGGCCCAAGTGCTTGGGCCTCTGCACTCATGTAGGAGACCTGGAAGAAGCTCCTGGCTTCAGCCTGGCCCAGCACTGGCCATTGTGGCCGCTTGTGGAATGAATCAATGGATGGGAGATTCTCTCTCTCTTCCTCTCCCTCTCCTTCTCCCTGTTTGTAGCTCTTTAAAATAAACAACCAAATCTTTATTTAAAAAAAAAGACTTCAACTGTCTTTTACCAGATTAAGTATTTCACATTTTGATGGCATTGTAAATAATATTTTCAAATTTCATCCTCCAATTATCTGTTGCTGATATGTAGAAATATGATTGAATGTTGTATATTGGTCTTACATCCTGTAACCTTGAAAAATTCCCTGATTAGTTTCAGTAGTTTGTGAGGTTTTTGTTTTAGATCCCATTGGATTGTCTACATATGTGGGCATATCATCTGAAAATAAAGATGCTTTTTCCTTCTTCTTTTCCAGTTTGGGTGCTTTGTTTCTTGGCTTCTTAAGCTGGCTACAACCTTCAATACAGTCTTGAATAGGAATAGTGAGAGTAGGTGGCCTTCTTTGTTCTTGATCTTAACACTCAAGCTTTCCCCATTAAATGCAACATTGACAAGAGGGTTTTCAACCTGTCCTTTTTCAAACTGAGGAAAATCTTCTTATTCCTTGTTTCCTGAGAATCTTTTTCTAAAGAATTATTCTATTTATTTGAAAGACAGAGTTACGGAGAGAAGTAGAGCTAGAGGGAGTGAAAAAGAGGGAGAGAGAGCGAGAGAGGTCTTTCATCCGCTGGTTCACTCCCCAAATGACTGCAATGACCAGAGCTGCACCGATCCAAAGCCAGGAGCCAGGAGCTTCTTCCAGGTCTCCCACATGGGTGCAGGGGCCCAAGCACTTGGACCATCTTCCACTGCTTTCCCAGGTGCATTAGCAGGGAGCTGGATCAGAAGTGGAACAGCCAAGACAAACCAGTGTCCATATGGGATGCTGGCTCTGCAGGCAGAGGCTTAAACTACTACACCACAGCATCGTCCTCTGTTCATTTTTGTTGTTGTTGTTGTTTAATCAAATGTTGACCTCATAGAATAAATTGGAAATTATTCTTTTAGTATTTAACTTTCTAATGTTTGTGGTTGACTTCTGACCAACCCTGTTTAAGGACATCAAGAACATTTTTCTCTTTCACTTAAAGTACCCCCCATTTATTCTATTAATATTCATTTTCTTTTCCTTTCTTTGAATGCAATTCTTCTCATAGATATGACACAAAAATAGCAGGAAGTTTGAATTGCTGTGTTGGTAGCAAAGCCTACCTTTAGCGTGAACCCTGATCAGCCAAAACTACATCATTTGAAAATCCGTTTTGGGATTTAATCAGAAATGACTGCTAAGTTCTGTTTATGAAAGATATTTATTCAATCTTCAAATTAAACTTATAAAAATTCATCATTTTTGCTGTTTTAGAAAACAAAGGAAACATGCCTACATTCTCCAAAGGTAGTAAAATGGTATTTTCCTTCCTCCCCACTACTCAGAAGGATAGTAAGGATTCTTCTAATTTTTAAGCCAAGTTAGTTTCAAGAACATTTCAGAAAATTGTTTGGCTGACAATGTCTCAACAAAAAGCCTCTCCATTTATATCTCAAAAGTTTCAAGTAGTGTCAATAAACTGACTAGTACAAACAGATTGATATCCACTGTGCTTTTAAAGGCCTTTGGACTGTGGTTAGTAGAAAGCAAGCTGCTGGTGTATCTTGGGAGAGGTCAAACGGCACTGGGAAGAGGAAAAGGAGTTTGCTTTCCATTCCTGTGTGCATGCAACAAGCAGCAAAACAACAAAGTCACTCCAGTTAGCTTGTACTCAGCTGTGCTTTCTGCCAGCAGAAGATCCATTTAGTGCATTTTGAAGATTTGTAATATTTGAACCTAGGGAAGGATTCACATTTCCCTGCTGAGAACTCCCATTGACTGGGCTCCCATTACCTTTCAAAATACCAGTGCACTTCCAATTGTCCATATAGTTAGCTTTCCACAATCGTACATAGCCATCATCTCCTGAAGATGTTCCTGTTATATTCCAGCTCACTCTCCAGACCTGAGAATTGTGATTATCAAACTGAGCAGCTATATGGATTTCAAATTTTGTTGGTCCACCAGATGAAGTAAGTTCTTTCCTCACAGGTTTTAGTGTAAAAATCCTCACATCTTTGGTTGCTATTGCTAGAATATGGAAAGATCTTCCCAAGTTTGGAGCAAATGCAGCATCATGAACAGGATCAGTGACTGTCATAAGAGTTTCAGCTTTTGCATATTTCCTGGTGTTTTCATTATATTCAAAAATCTGAACTTTGGCCATTGCATTTGGACTATTGTCATCACTCCCTACAGCTCTCCTGGGAGAATGAGCATGAGAGCTTGAAGGGTTCCAAGAAATACAACTATGGCACAGGCTTGGGCCAAGTCCCTGCCTCTATGAAAACATCCTTAAAAGTGTGAACTGATTGCTCAGTGACCCTCAGATTAATGTGTTCTTATGCCTGTTGCTCTAGAATTTACGATAATGCCTCTTTCGCATGGGAAAAATTACTCCTATCCTGTAAGGCACTGACATAGTCACATACAGGTCTACAGGATACAGTTGAGATGGACAGCTCCACAACACATCAGGAGTCTATGGGTCAATGCTGATGGAGATGAGGGGACACTGCCTTCCTTCTCCACAGTGAGATACATCACAGGTGTCGAGAGAGGCACTCAGGAGGAGCAGACCTGGTTAAGAGAGCTTCCATGAGCTGCAGGCTTTCTTCCTAGCTTCCTACACAACTCACCTCCTAGTCTCACTTTTATGGCATGTGATGACACCTGAGCCATATCCCTGAACTACAAAACACCTGACTTAGAGGCTGTGAGTCTTTGAACACGTGGAGAGAAAAGATTGATATTGAGCATCTCAGAAGGTAGCAATCTCTTTGGAGTTTGTACCCTGTTTCATTGAGAGGCCTGTTCTTCATATCAGTTTTCCTGATTGGCATAGTAATGGTTTTTGAGTGTCAAATGCTCAAATGAGAGATTCCTGGCTTCAGTGGAGGCAGATCAGAAAGAATGTGTAACTACTCAGTGAGAACAGGATTCTCAGTATCTTTGCCTATTATTGAATTCTTAACAGTATCAGACACAAAAACGCACAGAGATACAAGATACACACACAGACACACAGATGCACGCACACACGTACATCTTTGCTCAGGAAATCAAACTCAGTTTATTGGAGATTATATCTACTTGAATTACTACTGACTAATGTAAAGGATTTTAAAAAATAGTGAAGACCTCTAGCTAAGGCCTCCCATAATTACAGGGTATAAGGTAAGATATAAATGAGATATGCACAATGTAAATAGCCAACAATTCTCTGGGTACACATTTAAAATGGTCCCTATCTGACCCTGTTCTTCCTGGTTACTCTAATGACCTGGACTTTAAGGCTTTGGAAATGACTTGAGAATTGATTAGCTTGCTTTCCTGAGGCTAAGATGGCGAGTTTGCAAATATAATAATAACTTACATGAATAGCAGTGTTTTTATAACAGAATTTAATATTCAAATGTAAGTTTCTTTTGTGAATTGATTGCATAAAGTATTCTCTTTTCCAAAGCAATGACCTAGAATTTCGCATTTATTTCCTTTCTGTGAATAGTCTGTGAGAGATAGCAGATAGTGACCAAATTCCCACCCATGCTGCATTGGAAGGGCCTGTGGATGAGTCTGCAGTTGGCTGTTACTGTGCTTTTTTTTTTCTTAAAATGAAAATATTTTATTTATTTATTTGAGAGGCAAAGTTACAGACAGAGAGGTCCTCCATCCCCTGGTTCACTCCCCAAATGAGAGCTCGGTCAGAGCTGAGTCAATATGAAGCCAGGAGCCAGGAGCTTCCTCGGGGTCTCCCATGTGGGTGCAGGGTCCCAAGGTCTTAGGCCATCTTCTACTGTCCTCCCAGGCCATAGCAGAAAGCTGAATTGGAAGAGGGGCAGCTGGGACATGAACCAGTGTCCATATGAGATGCCAGTGCCACAGGAGGAGACTTAGCCCTCTGCATCACATCACCGGCCCCAGAAACCATATGGTTGGTTCTAACACCAAAATTTATTTTTCTTTCTATACAGTGACTTATTTCAGTGAATCAGTCTCAAGTTACAAAATGTGTAATTCAATAGTCTTCAAAAATATACAGAAAGGCAGCTTGATAACAATTCAAACAACTGTCAAAGATTCTGTCCCGACACAAGGTGAATGAATCCTATGACTGGTTCTGCAAGTGGTTATGCCCACGTTTAACAGAGGGCAGTTTCTGTTAGTGCGCCCAAAGACAGACATGTCCTTCCCACTAGAGAATCCTGCAGTACTGAGGGCTGTTTTTGTACTTGGCAGTGCACATTCTTCAAGTCTTTTGGCATAACTGACAATCGGGACAAGAGCGACCAGCACTCAGTCCTCTGGTGAGCCATATTTCTGTTTATGTGTTGCTCTTCCTGTTTGTGTGATCCTCAGAGCAGAGAAATTCTACCCAGGCAGGCTCTGCAGAAAGCAGGAAGAGGGGTGCTTCTTTGTAACAGTTCTTTGTGCAACTGCTACAAACACGGTATCATGCATGTCTCCCGTGGTTTCATCCTCACTACAGCTCTGTGAGCTAGATTGTCCTTATTTTGCGTAGAAAGAAACCAAGGCTCAGAGAGGTCAGCCAAGGTGCCTGAGGTCACAGAGCCAATAAACAGGACGCCAGAATGCAAGGAGTCCCCACCTGCGCCCTTCTGACTCTGCCAGTCAGCGGCTGTGAGCCTAGGTAAGTGCAGACCAGCAGCTCCTCTCAGTGTCAGATGCAGAGAAGTCACCAGTTGCATCGCTGGGCTAGCGCCTCCTTCATTGATGGGTCTCCACGCTCCAGTTGTCTTATATTAATCAACGCAATTCCAAAAATGTGACAACTCCAAAATGTAATTAACAGTTCATCTTTTCTTTTTTAATCAGCAATGTGAATGATCTTTCTTTTCTTTTCTTTTTTTTTTTTCATTTTCATTATTTACTTGACAGGTAGAGTTACAGAGAGTGAGAGAGATACAGAGAGAAAGGTCTTCCTTCCATTGGTTTACCCCCCAAATGGGCGCTAAGGCCGGAGCTGCACAGATCCCAAGCCAGGAGCCAGGTGCTTCCTCCTGGTCTCCCAGGAGTGTGCAGGGGCCGAAGTACTTGGGGCATCCTCCACTACCCTCCCTGACCACAGAAGAAATCTGGGTTGGCAGAGGATCAACTGAGACTAGAACCCAGAGCCCATATGGGATGCCGGCGGAGGAGTAACCAAGTGAGCCATGGTTCCGGCCCCAATGATCTTTATTTTCGTCCTCAGTTTTCTTTGAGAAATATTCTCAGTTTTTCGAAGGAAAAAAATCTTCAAAAGAATTAAATCACGACAAAGGGGGTGGCCGCCGAACGCGGCTGTGGCGGCTGCCCGCCTCCTAGGAGGTGGAGCCGCCGCCGCCGCCCCCCGCCGCAGCCCTGTTCGGGATTTGAAAGATTTAAAAATCCCGGTGTAGAGGGCGTTGGATGTGTGGCGTGGCGAAGCGCTGGGGGACACGGCCGGACCGCCAGCGGCGTCTCCACAGCATGAACTATGCCGGCCGCATCTCCCCGCGGAGCCCAGAGCACCGAGGACCACGACCCCCACCTGGCGCTGGACCCCTGCCTCAGTGAAGAGAACTATGACTTCAGCTCGGCCCAGTCGGGCTCGTCGCTGCACTACTTCAGCTAGGGCGAGAGCGGCGGCGCCTCATCTCTGCACCAGTCGCTTCCGCCGCCGCTGCCGCCGCCGCCACCGGCCCGGCGAACTCGGGGTGGGGTGGGGGACGGGTCCGGGGAGGGGAAGCGCGCGCGGCCCAGCGGCCCTGCCGCCCGGCATCCCTACAAGGTGGTGACGGAGCTGGGCCGGGAGGAGGTGCGCTGGTTCTACAGGGAGGACAAGAGGACCTGGAAGCCTTTCATCGGCCACGACTCGCTCCGCATCGAGCTCGCCTCCGGACCCTGCCGCAGGCCACCGGGGCGGGCCCAGGGCCAAGGGCCCGGATGGCGACCATGTGTGCTGCCCAGCCTCCAGTTCCGGAGAGGAAGACGACGAGGACCGCACCTGGAGTGGCTTCTGCCCCTGTGCGGCGAGGCACGAGCCCGCGATGCAGGAGCTGGTGCCCATCGAGCCGGTGTGCATGCGGGGCTGCCTGTATGAGGTGGACATGGTCCAAGGAGAGTGCTACCTCGTGTTTTGGAACCAGGCTGATAAAATACCAGTGATGCGTGGACAGTGGTTTATTGATGGCTGAGGACAGGGCCAGTGCAAAGGCCCTGAGGCAGCACGGAGCCAGGAGGCCAGCATGGCTGGAGCAGAGCTGGGGGGGTGGGGGGCAGGTTGGCCCGACAGCAGAGGTCCAGGCTCCCGTTAGAGGGGGCGGTTATGCCCTTCCCCCAGTGAGCCAGGGGCGCACGTCAGCGGGGGTTCCAGTAGAGGTGCGGCCTGGGGGCACCTGGGTGCTCGCACCTTCCCAGCCCTCGGCAGGAGCCCTGAGCCATGTCACCCCCCCACCAGGCCCCCAGCACAGCTTGGCCGCCCTGGGGCCTGAGAGGGGTCACGTGCCCATCAGTTTCATGCAGGCCTCGCTGTGCAGGGCTGAGGCATCCGAGCCCAGCGGGGCCGCGGCTTCTGCAGGAGCAGCATCTACACTGGGCCGGCCGGGGTCCGGGGCAGGAAAACAGGACCCGTAGCCAGTGTGGCCGAGAGAGCCGCGTCCGTGGCTTTGTCCCTTCCGTGGGGGGGGGGGCCCACGGAGGAGCCGAGAGCGCAGGCGCGGGGGGCCAAGGACAGGTGCCAGCCACCACCAGCCTCGGTCTCCCCTGCCCCCCGTGAGGCTGCTGCCCAGGCCGGAACTGCAAGAGGGGCACGTGGGGACGGCCGTGGTCGGACCCTCTGGAGGCTCTGCCATGAATCTGCAGCCAGGCCGGGGGCTCGTGGGCACGGGGCCGGTGCTGGGGAGTGGGCGCTGGCAGAGGGTCTGAGGTTTGGGGGCCGAGGACGCAGCTGTGCAAAGGCCCTGGGGTGGGATGGAGCTGAGGGTGGCTGGGCGGGGCCCTAGGAAGCCATGTCCGGGTTTAGGCAGGCGGGCGTCCCCGTGCCTGTCTGAGTGCCACCCGCCGTCTCCCCTGCTGTGTGCCGGCGCTGGGGTGGGGGTCGGGGCGCTCCATCTTCTGGCCCTCGGCCGCTGCCCACTGTGCCACATCTGAGGCTCTGAGGAGCTGGCCAGTCTGCTGCAAACCACGGAATGTGTCCCAGAGCCAGGCAGGAATGTCGGCGGGGGGGGGGGGGGGGGCGGGGCTGGGCGGGGGACATGGGCGCCTCTTCCGCCCCCGCCCTGGACGCTTCGAGGAGAGGGGCTGGGCTGGGCTCCTGGGCAGGTGAGTGAGTGAATGAATGAATGAGTGAATGAATGAATGAGTAGCCGGCCCCAGTGAGGACACAGTCGGTTGGCGCCTCTGGCCGGGCTGTCTCCGAGGCCAGCGGCCGGGTGGCCGGGTGTTCACCCCTCCCCGGGCGCTCAGAGGGGGCAGCGGCCCCCAGGGGTCGCACCCAGGAACTCTCGGGGGTCTCTGAGCTCGGCCAGGCCCGGCTTGGCCGCTTGCACGGGGTGGACGGGGCTCGGGGCAGTGGCCATGGCAGTGGCTGGGCGGGAGGAAGTGAGGGAGCCACGCAAGGCCACAGAGGCCGCGCTGTGGGGAGGGGCTGAGCCAGGCAATGTGGGGGGGGGGGGGGTCCGCAGGCGGCGGGGGTCCACGGGGCAGGGCTGAGGGCCCCAGAGGCGGCTTGGGGCAGGGAGGCTGGCGCAAGTGTCCTCACCTGGGGGAGGTCCTCCAGCAGCAGGAGGGTACCCCCTGAATGTCCTGGCCAGGGTGGGGGCTGAGCCAGGGTGCCTGGGTGGTCCGCACAGCGGGGCGGGGGCGGGGTGGACAGATGGGTGGGTGATGGGTGATGGATGGATGGGTGGGTGGGTGACAGGTGGGTGGGGCGGGGCGTGCAGCACCCAGGGCCTTCCTGCAAGCTCTGTCAGGGCCAGGCACAGCCCCCCGCCCCCACCCCTGCTGGTCCCGCCCATCCGTGACCCCCAAAAAAGTTGAGCCTATCTGAAGCCAGGAGCCAAGAGCTTCTTCTAGCTCTCCCATGCAGGTGCAGGGGCCCAAGGACACGGACCATCTTCCACTGCTATTCCTAGGCCATAGCAGAGAGCTGGATGGGAAGTGGAGCATCCGGGACTTGAACCGGCATCCATATGGGATGCTGGCACTGCAGACTGCGTCTTTACCTGCTATGCCATAGCGCTGGCCCCTAGATAGGTTTTCAATCCTACTTCCTCTCCTCTCCTTCTATAATTCTTATACAAATTTACCTTATTAAACCACAGAGCCATGAGATTTTCTTCTTTTGTTTCAGCCTATTTTCTCTCTGTTGTTCTTTTTTTTTTTTTTTTTTTTTTTTTTTGACAGGCAGAGTGGACAGTGAGAGAGAGAGACAGAGAGAGAAAGGTCTTCCTTTGCCGCTGGTTCACCCTCCAATGGCCGCCGCTGCAGCCGGCGCACCGCGCTGATCCTGGCAGGAGCCAGGAGCCAGGTGCTTTTCCTGGTCTCCCATGGGGTGCAGGGCCCAAGCACCTGGGCCATCCTCCACTGCACTCCCTGGCCATAGCAGAGAGCTGGTCTGGAAGAGGGGCAACTGGGACAGAATCCGGCGCCCCAACCGGGACTAGAACCCGGTGTGCCGGCGCCGCAAGGTGGAGGATTAGCCTATTGAGCCACGGCGCCGGCTCTCTCTGTTGTTCTGATGGTTACATTCTACTGACGGGTCCTCGAGATCACCAGCTCCTTCCTACATCATCACCACTCGACCACCTGGCCCACTCAGCAAGTTTATTTAGCTTACTGCGTGTTTTAGTCCTGTCATTTCCACTGGGTTATTGTTCTACAGCTTCTGTCTCTTGTGCTGGGATTTCCCCCTTTTTCATGTGTTCCCCGCATTGCTGTGTCGGCTGCTTTAACATCCTAGTCAGAGTTCAGCCTCTGACTCATTTGGGGGTTGGTATCTTAGCTCTCTCTTTCATTCAACCTGAGATCTTCCTGGTTCTTGGTGTGACACGGCATTTTCCACTGTATCCTGAACATCTCGGGTGCTGGGAGACTCTGGATCCTCTGTGACCTTCTGTTTTCCAGTCGGCAGACCCATGTTGAGATGTAGCACCAGGACCAGAAGAACGTATATATCCAGCTTCCGGTGGGCCCACAGACACCACCCAGACGTGTCCCTGGCCTCACAGCAGGTAAAAGCAGCAGAAGTGAGGCTCTTCCCTGTGGAATGAGACACTGACTTACATGAACTTCGTTCTGAATGTCGCTCCCTCCTGACACCAGGGAGGAGACTCAG